CCCATCCCCACCTCGCCCCATCCCCACTTCACCCTATTTCCACTTTGCCATCCGTTTTGAGTGTGTTACAATACAAGCCTCTTCAAAATATGGTCGAGGAGTTCCACAAATGGCATGAAACGACATGTAGTTATTTTAGAAAACTCTACGGCATTAAATAAATGTCACCTGCGTTGTCCATTATGGTGAATTAATGCATTTGGTTGGACTAGCATCGGGGTTGTTTCTCATCCTCTTTTATTTCAAAGCGACACACACAATTCTGTTCACATCGTTCTGGTAATTGTCGATGCATCCAGACAGCTGTACCCGGGCGATCGGATAAAGCTCGGCGCTCAGGAAATTTTGTGGAAACAGCTCGCATCAAGTACTAGCAATACAATCTAAAATTAAACTGATGAAATAAATAAATACACACATAGACAAGATACTAAAAATTAATGTAAAGAAACCTATCAATTTTGTTTCGATGCGTGACGGATCACGTACATGAATGGTCGCCGTGGCATGAATAGACTGGTCGCCGCACTCCATCATGCATTCTCTTACACAAGTGCGGCGTGGCTGGAACCAGCACCATGCCCTCGTGTTTTAACCACAGCGACAATGAAACATGAAAAATTTGGGTCCAGTGGTTGGAAAATCAGAATCATTGTTTACGCCTTTGAAAATTGGATTATCCGATTGTTATTTGGGTACTTGAACGTCAGTGTTTTTACTTGTTGCATCTAGGCCTACTGAAGAACAGAATGAATGATAATCAATGGGGCTAAGTGGTAATGGGGCAAAGTGGTTAGGGGCGAAGTGGACATGGGGCGAAGTGGAAAGGGGGCGAAGTGACTGACACCTGTTGTCACTCCTTCCTCCATGCTTGACTTGCCTACTTCCTGAACAGTAAGCATTGGCAAGGTACTACTCCATAGGCCTTTCTGATTCCTGCTATTTGATGGTTCCATATGCAACGTCAGTTGAAAAGTGCCCTACAGTTGTACCAAAGAAAACCTCCGTTGGCTCTTTCTTGATTAAATCTTCCCCTAAAAAGTCTGTAATAATACTAGGTAACCTATATCATGAAACTACTGGGCACATGTATATTTTGTAGAGTGTAACCTACATTATTAGCAAAAATGAGCTTTTTCCAACCATCCTGACCTAGAAATCCCTTGACAATCCACACACAAAATTGAACTTTTCATGTTTTTGCTTTCTGATGGCTATTAAGTCACTGTAGGGAAGAATTACCGGCATTGGTATATTGAACTCTTCCCATCTTATAAAGAACACCCTACATGTAACTCTAACCGACAGACATAACCAGATGACCAGATTAAAGACGTGTGATTGGGTTGCTGCGATACTGGTTAATCCTGTCATACCTGTATTAACGTATTTCCAACCACCACTAGATCATCACCTTTTCTAATTCATGGGTTTCTTTTGAAAAAGGAAGTAAAGCCAGAAATTTTGTATGGGATCGACCTATCATTGCTATGGTGCAGCATCATTGAGTGGAGTGCAGATCCAACGAGCACACCCAACAAGAACGACAAGGCCACTTTGTTAGGAGTTGTATAGCATACATTTCCATGATTGATGAGCCTGGTTGGTTGGTAGCACCTCAGATGTTGCTCAATTGTGCTGCTGTCTGACGATCGTCGTGGCAGTAGTCCGTCACTTTTTCTTTCAAATCTTATCCATTCCTCGCAAAGATCAATTTGAAAAGAAGAGACGTCTCTAATTGGAAGTACAGGACCCATCAACAGTACAGAACACCTCAAATGTCCTTATTTTGTTTATTGTGTAATTCCACATTATTTAATAACTTGCAAGTTCCTCTTTGAAATAATGGAGATGTGTGTTTTGTCGTGCATTCATAGTGCCATAGCACTGTATGGTACATTGTCTTATCTATTGTATTTTATGGCTTCAGGGAACAATGAGGTCATGTCCTCTTACAAGCGACTGCGCTGTGTACTACATTTTACTACTAAGTAGTACCATGGTAGAACTTTGTATTCAGGGTTGTCAGGGTAAAAAAGATATTCATTGATGAGAATAGGGCTTTCTGGTAAACACAACTGAGAAATAACTCTTTCCCAGTAACAGCGTTTACATCAAAATCTTTGACCCCAACCTTCCCCAACCGCACAGAATTAAACAGTAGCAAAGTGTTTAATTCTGTGGGGATAGGCCTGGTAGGCCCATAACAGCTGGCTTTTGCATTGGGTTTGGCATACCTCAGAAAAACCAAAGTCCAACAGCCTCTGTGCACTAAGTCCCTTAGATGGGTGTTTAACTTTGTGTGAATGGGGAAGGTAAGGGCCAGCAACCCTTGGGGGGTTAGGGTTGAGCACTTTTCAGGGCACCAACCTTGCCTGAAGAAGTGAACCAGTACATTTTTTCACACTGAAAGAAATGCAAAAATGAATCAGAAAATGGAAGTCTATGTGCCCAATCCATTTGGGTGGATTTGAGATGTATTTGTTAAACAGTGATCAGCGCTACCTACATGTACATAGGAGTTAGTCCTGACAGATTATAGATATAAATTGTAGTTTATAAATAACTATGTGTTTACTTGTGTGGAAGAAAAGGTCAGTCCAGTTTATAAATGATGCAGCCCCTCCCCTCTGTTCTTCGCACAGTGAATAAATAATTAACTTGTGATTTGTCCCTTCTGTCAAGCATTGTCTGAGAACGATGCGTTTAGTTTCAAAACACCTGCCGGAAATACCTGGACATCACTTGACACCCTGTGCATAAATACTGTGAGACTAGGGTGGTCTGAAAAATTGCTTCATTAACTTTTCAGAACATATTGTTGCTTTCTGATGGCTGATATATTGAAACGGGAAAAAACTAGTGATTTCGGTGTATGAAATTCTAAAGACCAGGTCCTAAAAATCTCCACTCCGTAGCAGTTTCAGGAAAGTATTGGTGGGTGGGGGGTAAATTCTGTCCTTTTCCCCTCTTCTTTAGTTTAGGGTTGATGCTGTCCTGATGAAATTGATAATTTGTACCATATTGTCTGTTGAAAATGCACTTGCCGTGAGTCATTGTAAATAGTTTTTAAGATCATAATCGATCCAGGCTTTTGTGACTTGATGTCAAAAGGGGGACTTTGCCCGAAATCTAGGAGATCAGTCAACAATTAGTAAACAAGATTGCAAAACTTGATCCTGGGCTGCACATGTACTGTACGTAGGACGTTGGACAGTGTGCTTTGGAATTGTCACAAGACTGGGTTTGTCAGGACAGTGACCCGACTCACTTGAACTTGACATTAAGCTTTGGTTGGGACCCCCCTAGTGTTTGCTTAAATGCAATTGATTGATACCACCAGCACTGCACATGCACTTGTTCTGTACATCATGACATGTACAGGAAGCCCACACCAGTCCATGTAAATCCACTGTACCCTTATGTACATGTAAGTACCTACATGTACATTGTAAATGAGTGCAGTGAACCAGGATGCTGACATCTAGTTGACCTCTGCATGTTTTTTTCTTTTCTAGCTTTTCCCCTGCCTGCTGGCAGGGTTGTGACATGCATATTATATGTGTGCATGCTGTACATGTACAGTACATGTTCATGCCAGGTATAGTGTGTGCATGAACATTTTCTTCACTACAAATTATTGATAACAAGTGGCCTTTGAGAATGAAACTAGGCAGAGTAGGCACAAATTTTAACACCCAATACAAAAGCATTTGTACACATATGCACAAGTACACGTCTATTATTCTTTGCGTCTTGGTTAATCACTAAAATGAGTTGAGCAAAATGACAAATATTTTTTCCAGAAACATTTGGTGGTGGTTCTCTGCAGGATTTTTATTTGAGGAAGTGATACAGAAATATTCCTTTGAAATGAGAGTGAAAAAATTTGTTTCATGATAGGAAATGTAAGAAAATTGGATTTGGCGGCTCTGTACATTTTACATACGTGTACATGTATTTCTATGTATGGCACAGTCGTATATGTTGCTGGTTCCGATCTTAATCTTAAAACTGACCTCATCACCAGATGTCATGTACACATGAGAGGTTGCTCCTGGGTGTCGCTGGTTCTCTCTTTGTTATCAGCTGTTGGTTTACTAGAAATACACCGGTGAAACAGAAATGCTTAGTCAGTGATGAGGGTGAGGTCGCTTGGGGTCACAGAGTAAATATAAATGACCTTGCTGTACATGTACTTTGCTAAAAAGGTCCCTGTCAGTGTTTTGATTTTATTGGTTTAAGCTTCTAGGCTTCAAGCATGTATGTGAAAAATTTTTATTAAAAAAATCCTAGAATTTTGTTGGAATTAGAGGCTTTTGTAGGATTTATGTAGGAAGGTGGACTTCAACCACTAACAGTGTACATTTACATGTTGAAGTATGACAGTTGAAAAATGTGTGTGAGTTATTTTAGAAGGTTCAGGAAGGTTTCTAGGAAACCCAACTAAATTTGCATGAGTAAACTGATAATTACCCGTATGTGTACATTGTAAGCACTAACTTTACAGGATTTTATCTGTTTCAAATTGTAATAGTTTTGCTTCAAATCTGAGGCTGAGTTAGTTCAAGTAATTTAACATTGGAGTATTCAGCCTTCTGTTCGATCGAATATTGTTTATACCAAATCCTAGCAGAAGCCCAAAATATGCGTATTTGTGGGATGGTTCGCCTTATTGGTTTTCAGGACACTTTGATGGGGCTGGGAGTCTAACTGATGTCTAGTCCTTATTTGGTTTTGTCCTGATTAGTGATTAATTCCCTTCCAGCGAGATCAAAGAGGAAAAAGTTGAAGGTAATTTTTGTCCTGATGCCGGACACATGCATCAGCTTCCTCAAAGTTTGCTTGTGACACCTTGAAATTCCTTTTTAAGAATGGAATTTTGCAACCAAATAATTGAATTGTGTCCTTTGTTTACATCATTGATTTTCATCCCGGCATGTTCAATTTTAAAACTCGATGTACTAATTTGAAACATTTGAATTTGAGCAATGCTGTTCAAACCTTTTTGAAATCACTCCGACAGATCCCAAGCCTGTCATGATGGAACTTAGTTAACCTTTGCTGCACCCAGTGCTGCTTCCAAGCTTCCTCGCATCCGCCGTCCAACCGAAAACACCGAATATTCAAAGTCTCTAATTGGCACCCTGCTGTGCAGAAGCCCACCAGTCTCCAAACCATGCTGTCCGCCAGTAACAACTTCAACAGTGAGTATACGTTCTTCAAATTGAAATGTTTATTTTTGTGCAGATTTGAGTGTGTGCTTGCTTGCTACAGGAGTTTTGAATGAAATACATCGTCTGAGGATTTTAGTGGTCAACTTGCATGTACTCTGATTTTGACTTTTTTTGCTGAATCCCAGTCAGCCCTCCAATAAGCTCCAAATATTTACATGTATGATAATTCTGCTGGTTCTCTGACCTACAGAAGTAGCTTGACAGCCCATCAAATTTTGCATGTCTCCCGGCATGTAAAAAAACAAGTGGCAACCAATTTGAAGATTTTTTTATTCTACACTTATTTTTGAATATTTTTGTCTTGTTCAACATTATCTTGATGAAAAAAGCTGTCTGTCTGTTGGCAAAAAATTGCTTCTGATATTTACACCCCTCAAACCAGACCCAAATCAATAAAAAAAAAAGGGGGAGGGTGATTTTTTTATTGTAAGAGCTGAGAGTTCTTTTGTCAAAGTGGCAGCCATGGCAATACATCTGGGGCCTGTACAACTGCAACTCCACTTCCAGACGACATGATCGCTGACGTTGGTCCTGAATCCTGTACTGAGGCCCCCCCCGCAATATTTTTTATCTTTGCCTACCAAGTTCCCACATTTTAGAACTTTGAGAACACTGTTTATAAAATGCCCCCTGAGTCTCCTGCTTGGGCATTGTCATAGTAGCCATCAAGCAGCCTGGGGCCAATTTCATAGAGCTGTTTAAGCATGAAATTTGCTTAAGCGTGAAAAACCATGCTTAAAAAAACACAAAGGTTTACCAGCTCAAACCTTATTTGATTGTCATGCAAACCAGAAGACAGCTAAATACGATCCCCAAACAATATAAACAATGTACATCACATGGAGTTTTGGCTGGTTACTTGATTTATCAAGCAAGGTTTTCTCACGCTTAAGCAAATTTTGTGCTTAAGCAGCTCTATGAAATTTGTCCCTGGTCCTGGACATTAAGGCAAAAATCCCTAAACAAATCGGTACATGTATCCTCTTCCCCCATGGTCCTTCCTTTTGCAGTCTTCTGCTGGTCAGCTTGTGCATCCTTCAGTCCAGCACGCTCCTTGTGGCCGACGTTGGCTGATGTTGGTATTTCCGGCTGACTGACGACAAATAAAGCACTCTCACACAGCCAGGGTGGTGGTGTTACTGGTTATGTATTCCTGTTTGTGTGGGAGAAATGTGAGAGACAGACATCAGTGTGTTTAGTTGAAACAAGATACAAGACAAGAATCTGAAATAGGTTGAGTGCCCGTTTACATTCACGCTATAAAGCTCTCATGTTAGGCAGTGTTGAAATGGCTATAGAGTTGGATAAGAGGATTGGATGTACACGTATGCGGAAGCTTATTTCTTAACCCTTCTAAGTCTCAAAGGAAGACAGGTGTAAAATTGTATTGATTGTGTTCTGGGACTACGTGTTGTACATCAGCATCCCCCACAGTATTTCAAATGGGAGACAACCCGTGCACTTCACCAGAGAGGGCAGAAAAAAGTCTGAAAAATAGGCTGGAAAAATAATCTACACATATGCACCTATGAAGTGGCACACTGGCTCATGGAGGAACGTAAAGCTCTATGCTGGGCTGTATCGAGTTGGAATCAGCCGTGATTTGTTGTTGATCGTGGTTGATGGTGCAGGCATCGAAAAGGGCTTATCCGGAAACTACATGTGACTAGTAGACAACTTCAGAATTTCAAGCTGGTCATTGGCCTCTGTTTTGCATGGGCAATGTTTTCGTTACTGAGTTAGAGCCAAGATTAACCCAACAAATGAATTTACTAATGCTCATTTTCAGGTTTTATGTTCTTTTAAGTTTGGCATTCTTAGTCTTGGTTGGTCTGATGTCTTCTGTCCCTGGACCGTGTATTGTGTAGGGCACCGAAAATTGATACCTCTCTAAACATAAACAACCTGGACCAGCTCTGAGAATGAAGGCCCCAATCCACACCACGTCCCAGGTCCCAGGCTCGTGTGTACATGTACGTTGTTGTATGGTTGTACATATAATGGGGTTGTCCTTTTTAGTCTGAAGGTTTGTTGGTGGGAGACCATTCTCTTTATGGTTTCAGAGCTCCCTTACAATTGGCTGGCTGCCTGTTTACTTAGTTATCACATCACAATTGGCCTGTCTTCCAGAGAACAGACAATACCAAGGGTCTCTTCCCTGCCCAGAGGAACAGCTCTCCTTGGAGCTTTTTGTTCAGATGTGGCTTGGATTAAACAGGTTTTATTCTTCCATTGATTACCCAGGCTATTGGGGCCAGCTCCAAAGCCCTGGCCAAACTTAAATGGGAACTGCCCAGTGCTTGGCAGCAGATAAAAGAGTGCTCAATCCTAGTTTTGAAACTAGAGTAACCTATGCCTTGGATACATCAATGCCTCATCAGTAATCTTGGAAGGGGGGGGTCTGTGTCCGTTGGATCACTATTAGACTGTGACGCAAATTCTTCTCTTGATTGGTCTGCTCTGTTGTACCTCGGTCCTCACTGCTGCTTAATTAAGGGTCTGTGTGCAGGAGATGGAGGTTCTGCTGTTGTCATGGTTGTGCAGAAAATTGGGGCGCTTTTATGCTGCTTAGCATTGTCCTGAAATTGATGCCAATCGGATTCTGATCCCAGATCTCTCCATTACTTTCTCAGACAAATGAGCTGTGTGACCAACAGTGGCATAGGTAGCAAATAGCTAGAAAATGTGGGTGATGGTTCAGCGCCATGGTGATTTCATTTTAATCATTGTCCAAATGCTTTAGAGGAACAGGTGTACTATTTTTGAATTTTTTCAGATGCTCTGTTTGTTTCAGAATATTGTAACCTGGGTTTGCACATGGTATGCACGTTATTATTGGTGTCAGTTATTGCCCTCACTAATTTTTGAAATCTTTTGTCAGTTATGTACCCGTGCCTGTTCAGCTGTCCTGAACATTTCACCTCTGTCTGAAGCCAAAACTAGAGCCGTAAACATGCCATCCCTTTTTCTGAAGGTTTTGTCACTTTGTGCATTCTTGTTTCATGGAAGGTTGTTTAAAAATGACCCCAGCTTGTTTACCCTCATAAAATGAAACGGTAATGGTTTTTAAAATTTTCTCCAGACATGGTGAACTTTGTTTCACCCCACAGCAGACAACTTCAGTCTGTGCAATCTGTTTGATCCACCTCGTAGTTTTCAGCGTGGCTGGTGTTTCATTCAAGCTTTTTCCAGGTTTCAAAAAAAATTTTTTTTTGCTCAACTGAAGTGTTTTTTGGGGGGTTAAAATTACGTGGACTTGCATGGAATTGGCGGAACTGTCTCTATTGAATCACCCTCATCCTGTCGTGTGGCAATTTGGTCGCTCAGTGGGAGGCCAAACCATTGTCAACCCCCACTGTACAGCAAGGACCACTTTGTTGTTATCTCTTTAGTGTCCTACTCCAGGGTCAGGTGTGTTTCAATTCATTCCCAGAGGATAATCCCTGTTGAAATGGCCACTTTCAGCACTCATTTCCAGGATCTGCCTCACGCAGTCTGCACTTGGTCAGTTTTTCACCAAGTCAATAATAATTCTCATTTAAGCAAGCAAAATTAGATTGAAAACAAATTGTAGATGCTGATATAGATTTTTTTTTTTAATGAAAGAGAACTATAACGTAATGGCAGATTAATAAAACTTCCTGGATAATCACATTGTAATCTGCTTGGCTGTATTTCACGTAAAAAGGTCTGGTTTTCCAATCGATAACTGATGAAAATCCATACATTGATTTTCCGTCTTCCCTCAAAGCATTTTTGTTGACAATTTGACAAAGGGTTTGAACCTTTTGTGTAGACAATTTAAAGGGGCATTTGTCCAGTAGTGCATATGTTCTTGGACCAACATCCCTTATATGCGATATAATGATTTCTAATTTTATATATTAGTACTGTACAATGTGTGGTTAAAAGTAGTGGGTAGGCATGGTACATGTATAAGCGGTGTATTCGTATGTCCCTTAAAGGATTAAAACTTTTTTTTTCAAAAGTACCGAAACAGCTGCTGTTCAAGTGAGCTAAAATCCTGAGAGAGGCGGATGTGCAGGTGTTCTGTATATTAAGTTGGTAACCCTAACCCTACATAATACTTCAAATTACTACTTGTAGTAAAATGTAGTACTGAGCGCTGTCGCTTGTAAGAGGACATGACTTTATTCTGTGAAGCCATAAGATACAATAGATAAGACATTGTACCATACAGTGCTGTGGCACTATGAATGCATGGCTTTATTGTTCTCTGTACAAGTAACAATGGAAGTAACCTAGCCAGAAGTAGTAATCTGTAGTGCTAGGTCCTCCAGGCTCAGACTACTACTTAGTATTTTGTAGTACTGTATAGTGTAAGCCAAACAATATGCTTGGCGGTTAGGGTTAAACATTTGTAAGAATTTACCATAAACAGGCTATCCTCCAGAAGATTGCAGCAGGTTTCATCCCAGATCACGTGTGATTTTTATAGAATATTTTAGTCTTTTTGAGTCTCTTGGAGGGCTCGTGGTCAAACTCGGTCCGTAACCAACTCAGTTCGAGTCAACTCGGTCCCCAGTCTACTTGGTCCCAAATCAACTTGGTCCCATTTAGGGGTTGCAACCGGGAAGGTTACTTTTCAAGCATGGCGTAGATAGACTAAAGTCTTTCAGGCAAATGATGAGAACTTTGAAAGGCCCAACTTTTTTAGAAAGACTTATAATTCTTTGCCAAGAGGTTCCTGTTAAGTTTTAGACTTTTGAACCTTGTTTTAACAGAATTGGTATATCAAAATAAGAAAATAATTGAAACTGTCGTCTGACAAAAAAGATTATCTTGAGACGTTGATCATGTCGTGTAATTCAGTAGTTGGTTTTTACCTTCATTATATATAATTTTTTGTTTTCACTTTTATCACATTCAGTTATAAACGAAACCGGGGGCCAATGAGATGCAACATCCTTTGAAAGGGAAGCTTTTTATGGCTTAATACAGCAAATTAT